TACCTCAGGAGATGGAAAAAAAGCTTTTAATAAAATTTAACATCCTTTCAAGATTAAAAACCCACCAGGAAGAGAATTTTTTTCTTAACCTGATAAAAAATATTTACAAAAACTCTACAGCAAATACTATGCTTCACAATGACAAGATGAAAGCTCTTTTTGAAAAGGTATAAGACATGATGCCCACTATTCCCACTTCTATTCAATACAACACTGGAGATCCTAGTCAGCAGAATAAGGAAGAAAAGAAAAAAAAAAAGATGAAAAGGTACAAGGACTGGAAAGAAATAAGCAAAATGTCAGGAGCGTAAGCATTAAATATGAACTCTGTTTTTGATATCAACAAATAAAAACAAAGTTATTTTCTATATAACACCAATAAATAAAAATGATTTCAAGTACCATATTAAAAAAAAAACAAAAACAGGTATCTAGGATTGGGGGTATGGTTCAGTGGTAGAGCACTTACCTAGTATATGTGAGGCTTTGGGTTTGATCACAAGCACCACACTCACAAAAAAAGAAAAATATAACATAAATCCCACATATATCTAGGGTAAAATTTATGAAAACATATGTAAAACTTCTATGGGGATAGAATTATAAATGTTCACTGAAAAACTTCAAAGACCTAAAGAAATGGAGAGAGATACCATACTATGGCTAAAATCTGATACTGTAAAAATGTAAATTCTCCTTAAACATTCCACGGATTTGATGCAATTCCAATCAAAATCCCAACAGGGTTGTGTGTAGACCATTTATAAGCAGACTCTAAAAAGGAAAGAACAAGAACAGCCAAGCTACTCTTAAAGAAGAAGAAAGAGGGTATGTTTTCCTCTCTCAAGATTTTTTTTTTTTTTAACATTTGAATCAGATGGGGTATAATTTCTCTCTCAACAGTTTTAAAAACATCCTAAAAAGCTATAGCAATTAAGACAGTGTGGTATGGGATAGAACTAGAAAAACAGGATAGAATATAGAAACAGAGCCACATGGATATGGATTCTTACTTCATTATAGAGGTGGCACTAGAGAGAAAGAAGAATCTTTATTTTTTAATATTTTTTTAGTTGCAGATGAACACAATACCTTTATTTTATTTATTTATTTTTATATGGTGCTGAGGATTGAAACCAGTGCCTCACACATGCTAGGCAAGTGCTCTAACACTAAGCCACAACCTCAGCCCTGAGAAAGGAGGATCTTTTCAAAAGGTGGTGCTAGAATCCTCAGATGTTTATATTAGGGAAGAAAGTGACATTGGACCTTACCATCTACTCAAGGTGAATTGCAATTTTAAAGATTTTACAGAAGTTTTTGTTGTTGTTGTTGTTGTTGTTGTTTTATTTTTTGCATTACTGGGGCTCAAACCCAGGGTCTCACGCATGTTAGGTAAGTGCTCTACCACTGAGTTACATCCCCAGCACCAAAGACATTTTTATAACCATAGGGAAAGAAAAAAATTTCCTGAACAAGACATGAAAGCCCTTAAAAAAACTGATAAATTCTTCCCCAATTCAAATTAGGAACTTCTGTTCATCAGAAGGGGAATGATATTATAAACATAAGAGAAGAGCTAAGTATAGTGGTACATGCCCGCAATCACAATTAGTAGAGAGGCTGAGGCAGGAGGATCTCAAGATCAAAGCCTTAGCAACTTAGCAAGGACCTACGCAACTTGGCAAGACCCAGTCTCAAAATTGAAGGAAAAAAAAAAAAAGTAAAAAGAGTCAGGGATGTGGCTCAGTGGTTAGATGCCCTTGGGTTCAATCCCTGATACAAAAATAAAAAGAATTTCTATGACTGGACAGGGTGGCACATATTATCTCATCAACCTGAGATGCTAAGACAGGAAGATCACAAATTCAAAGTCAGCCTCAATAATTTAGTAAGGCTCTAAACAATTTAGTGTGACCCTGTCTCAAAATAAAAAAATAAAAAGGGGAATGTAGCTCAATGGTTAAGCACCCCTAGGTTCAACCCCTGGTAATTACAATTAAAAATAAGTAAACAAATAAATAAAAAAAGAACTTCTACAAATAGAATTTTAAAACAGACAATCTAATAGAAAAATGAACAAAGACCAAGGTAATAAATACTTCACCAACAAGGATCTCCCAATGGCCAATAAACATAAGAAACAATGCTCATCTTTGTGAATTATCAGAGAAATTCCAGGCATGTCACAATGCAATACACTACACATCTACTACACTGATCAAAAATGTCCACTTGGGGGCACTCACTCTCCTTCACCCTCACTCAGGACCAAGACAAAGGAAAACTTCTGTGGCCATGCTTAATCCATGATTACCAATGCAGAAAAACAAGGTAAACTTGTGTACAGCTCTTAAAAGTTTTTCTTAGAAGTGACATGCATCACTTTCACTCACATATCCTTAGCTAAATTCACATTTTTGGTGGCTAAAACAAAACTCACAGCTATAGTTAATTTAAGAGGGCACAGAATTATAATTCTACCATATGTCCTGAAGGAGAAAGACCTAGAAATATCTGATTAATGGTTCTGATGATGACCACACTGAGAATAAATTTCGGGTAAGGATATGGAGGCATGGGAACACTCAGCCCATTGGTGGGAATATAAATTAATAAAAGCACTCTGGAAAAGTCTGGAAATACCTAATAAAGGGGCAGGTACTGTGGCTTACATTGAGGCTTATCAGGTCTTAGGCCTCTTGTGCTTCCCCTTCTTCTCCTTAGGGACCCCACCTATGACCCACCAATTCCATTATCAAGAGTTATAACTGTTACAAGTGAAATGTATGATATCATAAACTTTTAATAATATTCATGCCAGAATATTTCATACACAATCTAAAGCACACAATGAATAAATAAATTATAGTATATTCATATAATGGAATCCTATGCAGAATGAAATGAAACCTTCTAAGGCTACTACTCATGACAAATTGGATTCTTATAACCAACATCAAGCAAAGGAGTTAAGACATAAAACAGTATTTTGTAATTCTGAAAGTTACCTTGAACGCATTCTCATGAACTAGGTTGGACTGGGGGGCTCTCTCTAATCCAAATGAGAGGGGCTACACTCAAGTTCAACTTTCCATAATACCTACTACTGTCTCCTCAAGGTGTATCAACCCATAAGTCTCCAAGTTATTAGGTATCTAGCATCTCAAACTTCTATAAACAACTGATATACAAATGCAGACTGTCTGGAATCTTTAGAACTTTGTGTATCTCTGTACTCCCTACAGTTGCCTGACAAAGAAAGAACACTGGGGTAGCGGACAAGGAGGAGCCACTCCAGCAGAAACTAGCCCCAACAAACATCCAGGGGGACAATGGGAAGATGAGGGATCTATACCTTCTCTTCTCTTGATTGGAAAAATTTCCCTTCACCAAGTAAAATCTATCCCTTAACCTTTGCTCGAGATATTGAAGAAATGCATCTCTGGCTTAATAAACATCAGGTAGTATCCACAAAGAAACTCACTTTGCACACCGGGTGCTAACCATCAAGGTAATACCTCATATTTAAAAAAAAAAAATTTTTTTTAGTTGTCAATGGACCTTTATTTTATTTATTTATTTATACGTGGTACTGAGAATCAAACCCAGTACTTCACCGTGCTAGGCAAGTGCTCTACTGCAGAGCCTAAAAATCCTAGCCCCATTTTACATTTTAATGGTGTTTTAAAATAATAATGACAAGGCATATGGAGACACTGCTCCATTCCCCTCATATTCTCAAGTTTCTTTATATTAATCTTTTTTTTTCTGTCACTAGTATAGAAGAGAACTAGATTTGGACTATTTACTCTCCTTAAGAGAGTGTACAACATTGTAGCACATTTAATAACTGACAAGCACAAAATAATTCTAGTATTTGCAAAGAGAAAGGGCCAAGAGATTTCTGAAATTTCCAAGATCCTTTCAAATGCTCAAAAGTATCAGTGAGCTCTGGATACTTTGCAAACTCTCAGAGTTCCAAGTCAGGTCTATCTAAGGAATAGGGTTCCATGATTCTCCTGCACCAAGTTGCTGATAAAGCTGAAGCCGAAGCCAGAGTCAAGCTGAATGTTCAAAGAAAACTTTACTCCTTTCCAACATCCAAACAAGAACCCACTGACTGCAACAGCCCCAAAAGTGGCATCTGCAAAGCCTGGTCGAGTCAACTGAGACTTAAGAAGATCCTATTGGAAAACAAGAGATTTCCCCCAGATGGCAGCTGCTACCAAAGATGGACCTCAAAACTGCTCTGTCATGATGAAAACAGATTAATAAAGGATCATGGCCAAAGAGCAGTAGTTTCCCCAAAGTTCTAACTTGCTCCAAGGGCCATGAACCACAGTGACAACAATTAGCTAATTTACCAACAAACAGCACTAGGGACAGCACATGCCCAGCTGGATGAAATAATGTTTCTATCCCCTTGCTGGCTATCATCTATGTTTAACTTGGCATGCTAGGACACAGGCCATGTCCCAGTTATGCTAGGAAAAAAATCTAAGAACACTACTTGTTCTGAATTCTGACTCCGAGTGTGCTTTCCCACAGAGTATCGCCTGACCTCAAATTATGTACAGGTATATTAGTCACTACATTACCCCTTAGGAAAGATATAAATTTTACTAAGTCAAAGCACTGGTATTATAATTATTCCAAAGATTCATTATCACTGGTTTATGCCTATGAAACTTATTTTATAAGCAATATAAAACTATGTATCTTAAGTGGCCACTTACTCTAGAGTTATCACTGCCCTACACCAAGAAGCTTATGAACAGATGAACCACAATATAGGCCCAGTGATAATCTTGTAGATGTTAAAACAATTGATAGATCTTAGAAAAAAAAAAAAGCCCTAAACCAAAGTTATTAAACATAAATAGGTCATAGGACTATATCAGAGTAAAACCAAGAGAAAGAACATGAAGATGTAAAGGTGGCTAAAGATGCTATAGGCTCACAGTTTTTCAGTAACCCTGATTTGAGAGAGAATATACCTTATCCATATGGAAGATCAAATCCAATTCACAAACATTTTCAAAACACTTATCCAGAGTCTCCACAAAAACCTAGAAAACAAGGAGAAATAAAGAACAGAAATGAGAACATATTCACAGATTAATATAAATATTACATTTCAAAGTAAAAGGAGCATAACGATAAATCTCAAAAACAAAGAAATCCTCCCTTTTGTTTCCACAATTAGCCGTATTTATCCCAATTCAGGGGGACAACCTAAGACAGGAAAACCTTATTTTTGGTATAATAGTACAACCAAGCAAACACATGTGGCATTCTTTCCTTTTTATTATAAGATGCTAATTGCATAAAATAATAACAAGTTAAAATATCAACTATTTATAATTCCATGTCCTTTTCCTAAGCCTCAGTGTACACCTCTTCAAAAAAATTTTCATTATTGCAACGTTAACAATAGTTGTCTGTTCCTTTTAATTAATATTAACTTTAAAATATCTTTTGATGAATCAACAATATTCACATTTAACTTTTACACTACTTTTCACTTTGTTGTGGTTGTTACCAGGGATTGATCCCAGGGGTGCTCAACTACTGAGCCACATCCCCAGCCCTTTCTATTTTTTGAGATGGCCTCATTAAGTTGTGGAGGCTGACTTTAAACTTGCAATGCTCCTGCTTTCAGCCTCCCAAGTTGCTGGGATGATAGGCATGCACCACCATACCTGGCTATTTTTTAATTTAACTTTTTCGTATAACATAAAAGTGTTCAAATGATAAAGGCACGTCTTAATTAATTTTCAGAATGAAAATAATCATGTGACTACTATCCAGATACCTTTTTTTTTTTTGATGGTAGTGCTAGGGAACAAATATAGCTCTTACACATTGTAGGCTACCACTAAGCTACATCCTCAGTCCTTCCTTACTTTCTGATTTCTCTCTCAGAGAATAACCTAATTTCAATAGCCTTGTAGTCAGCAATGTCATTAGTTGTTCAGTGCTGCATGAAAACAGGTCTTACTTGAGGCCTCCAACTGACCCAAATCAGGAATGTCCTTCTGCTGTGGCCCAAGGTAGGTGACATAGGCAAACTGTCCTGTGGTGGATATTAAGGAGATCCACTAGGGCCTAATGCACACTGCTGGGGTTGATCTTGCTCTGTCTCTTCTCCATGAAAGGTATGGTTACATCCAATGCTCAACAGTTGTATTTTCCTTGGTGACTCTTGATATCAAGATGCAGGGAACAGAGAAGCTTTTGAAGTCCTGCCCTGGGATTGCTAACCAGTGCTCAGTCTTCTGGATTTTTGTTTTTGTTTTGTTTATTTTTCCACCTCTATTTTCTATCTCTGTCCATTCTCAAAGTTACTTAACTTGATTTTCTAACACTTAACTGAGGTAGGTTTTTATTTCTTTTCCATTTCCTTTCAGAGAACATTTTGTTCTGTGTTTTCATTTATTTAGCATTCATTTTTGTCTGTCATATTTCTCTGTAGGTTTTGTTCATTTTACCATTTTACTTTCCTTTCTGTGAATGGTGTCCACTTTTTCTAAGTTGTTTTCTTACTATTTGTTCATTTCATCTCTTTCTTCCATTTCACATATCTTCCTCTAATCAACTTTTTTTTCCATTCATAAAAACAAAAGCAGATTGGAAATGCTGTACAATCATGCTACTTGCTGACCACTCCCCAAACTTGCTGATCACTCCCCAAACATTTAATTTATTTATTTACTTTTTAGTTTTCGGCAGACACAACATCTTTGTTTGTATGTGGTGCTGAGGATCGAACCCGGGGCGCGTGCATGCCAGGCGAGCGCACTACTGCTTGAGCCACATCCCCAGCCCACTCCCCATACATTTAAAATTTTTGCTTAGATTGGTCAAATTCTTCAGTGAATTCTTTCTATTTTCTGCCTGGAGAGCAAAGCACTGGCTGCTAGAAATTTGGGAGCCAAATGGGGGAAAAGAGCTGGAAAGTTAGTATCAGAGGCATACATTCATTTAATCCCCCTGATTTGCATTACTGATTATGCCTAGTATCCCCTAAACCAGAGAACTTCCTTTTTTTAGTAGTTATAGATGGACAGAATGCCTTTATTTTATTTGTTTATTTTTATGTGGTGCTAAGGATCAAACCCAGTGCCTCACTAGGCAAGCACCCTGCCACTCAGCTACAAGCCCCAGTCCCCAGAGACACTTTCTTTAACTCTCTGTAAGAATTAAACCTCTAGTCTCATACTTGGGGCAAGGTAATTGCCCAGACAACTGGAAATGTCTATAGGACTTAGAGATCTAAATGGTTCCCAAACAGCTTTCTCTGTTCACTCCACATCCACACCCCTGTTGAGATTATGCTGCAAGCTCTATGTCCTTTTGGGACTCTGTAACACGTTATCAGGCAGGCTGTCAGCTTTCCTTGTCAGCTGCTTCCTTGGGCTAAGAAGCCCTCTGCTGCTTCCTTGGGGTAATCTACTTTACAAATATATAAAAGCTACAAGTAAAATAAACTCTCACATAGTCAGCCTTCTGTATTTACAGGTTCCCTATCAGCAAATTCAACTAACTGTGGATGGAAAGATGGAAAAACAAAAAAACAAAAAACCTGTGTACTGAACATGTTCAGGCTTTTTCTTATTGTTATTCCCTCAACAATACATTATAACAACTACTTACACAGCATTACCCTCTACTAGATATTGTATGTAATCTATGAGTGACTTAAAGTATATGGAAGGGTGTGGGTAGGGGTTAAATGCAAATGGTATGCCACTTTATAAGCAGAACCAATCCTCTGAAGATATGATAGGACAACTACTGTATGTACAATTTTTTGTATCTGCAGGTTTGTTTAGTTATTTCCACCTCCTAAACAAGAAAGGTTATGTAGATACTCTTTGGAAGATCTTACCTTCAGCACATAATCCAGCACAAATAAGCTGGGCAGTAATGATAATAAAAATATTTTTTTCAAAACAACAAGCAATGGCAAAACTACTGGAGAACATTTTTATAACCTAGAAGCTGTAAGTCAAAAGATCAAGAGATTTAACTCCATAAAGTTAAAAAACCAATAGATTGAAGAAAATATCTGTAATAAATGTAACAAAAAAAATGATTTAGATCCATGAAGTTAGGGGAAAAAACCCAATACACACAAATGAATAAAACTAATGAGCCATAGATAAGTGGATAAATGGTGCAGTCAGACATTTCCAAATTCCAATGGCCAGTAAATACAAAAAGATACACAGTCTCACTAGTATTCAGGAAAGTTTTAGAAAAAACAAGGAATTGACACTGTTTTCACCCATCAGGCAAAAAATTGAAAATATTCTTAAAATTCAAAAAAGTGTGTGAGTTTATGGGGAAACACGCACATTATAATCCATTAGTAAGCATATCAAAGGCAAATCCCTTTTTAGGAGGTAATGTGGCAATATTTGACAACTTGGAAAGCCCATCTGGACTGTGGCTCAACAGTAGAATACTGATCAATATGCATCAAGGCCCTGGGCTTGAGTCTCAGCATTGCAAAATAAAATTAAAAGTTACAAAAACTAAAAATAAAAATCATTCCCTTATTAAAGCAATGATTACAATTTTAGGAATCTATTCTAAGGAAATTAATACATGTGCACAGAGATATATGTGCAGGATGTCACTGCAGCATCACTTGCAATAGAAACTGGGAAAATCCTAGATGCCCACAAGTAGGGTTCTAAATAAAATATGATGATACATCCATATTATGGGAAATCATGCACATTAAAAAGAATGCATAAATGTAGAAAAAGCTCTGAGACTTATTAATGTGATAAAAAACAAACTGTAGAACTGTGCATACAGTATGATTACTTTTTATTTAAAAATATATAATATATAGAGAGTACATGTGTATTCGTGCATTAAAAAACTTAGTAGTAATTACCTTCACAAGTAGAATGGTGTATAAGAAAAGGATGAATACTAAGGGTGAGAACTTTTCCATTCTACCTAATAAGATGAGCTGTTTGAATCTTTACAGCAAGAACTATTCATATACTATCCGTGTAACTTTAAAAACTCAAAATAAAAACAAAATAATATACTTGAGGGCTGGAGTTGTAGCTCACTGGCAGGTGCTTGCCTACCATGTGTGAGGCACTGGGTGCGATCCTCAACATCACATATAATAAATAAGTAAAATAAAGGTATTTTAAAAATGCTTGAAATTCTAGAAACAGGCTTAAATTTATATAGAAATTAACTTTAATTAGGAGTAGCAAAACAATGGGAAATTGAATAACTTACAATCATTACTGGAGAAACTGGATAAAGGCATGGACAGAATATAAATTAAATTAGATCCATATCTCAGCATATATGAAAAGAAATCTGATTTGTATTTAACAGATTAATAATACATATTTTTAAAATTGGAAAAAAATGGTTTAGAATTTTGTCCCAATTGTGACAGGAAGCTGGGCCTGGTACACACCTCTAATCCCAGTGGCTCAGGAGGCTGAAGCGGGAGGATTCCAAGTTCAAAGCCAGCCTCAGCAATTTAGTGAGGCCCTAAACAACTTAGTGAGACCCTATCTCAAAATAAAATAAAATATAAAAATGAAGGTGTGACTCAGTGATTAAACATTCCTGAGTTCAATCCCTGATACAAAAAAAAAAAAAAAGAACCAATTATGACAGGAAGATTAATTAACTATTGAAGAAGTAGAAGAGGTAAGTGTAAACTATACTGAGATGTAAATAATGAATAGTAACTAATTACAAATTAAAAGAAAAGTTACATGGTGGTGAAGAAATGTCTGTGAAAATAATAATAAAAGCTTACCATCCTAAAATTTGAGAATAATTATGTGATATTAGGACCTATTCTGAACAAAAACAATGAAGCTTCAATGCAAGATTCAAAAGAAAAAATGAATAAATTGAGAGTAATATTGCATTTAATTCACTTCTAATTACAAATCCAACAGGGACTTTTGATACCTTTACAAATTATATAAGAATGTGTATAGATGAACAGTTATAAATACCAGGGAATATATTAATAAAAAACTGTATCTAAGAGGAATAAATTATTTTGCTA